CTCCCAGGGTTATGGACAAAAGTGCAGGGGCAGAGCAGGAGCAGTGAGGATTTGCATTCCAGTTAAGGATAGAAGATGCCTATGAGGTGCCTCATTACAGGATTGAAGTCTCTTGGATGAAGAGAGCTGGAGCCTGAAAGGGTCCCTGCCAACCATCCTGGGGCGGCAACATGGAACTGAGGGGTAAAAAGACAATCATGGGAAATCCAAAGCCTGGGCCACATGCAGGTATATGTAGTCTGAATTTGTATTACTAGCATGTGGAAGGACCAGAAGCTACCATGAACATTACCATGAAGATTGGCTCGGATGGGAGAGGGCCCAGAGCCCTGCAGAAACAAGTGCAGTAAATTGGATTGCAGCAGGTTAAAGCAGCTAAAATGAGCTCCTGCAAGTTAAAGGAGAAAGAACGAGCGGCATAATATGAAAGATACAAAGACAGGGTACCTGGGTGGCTCAGCAGTTGAGCATCTGCCTTCGGCTCAGGTCGTGATCCCGGGGTTCCGGGATCGAGTCCTGCATCGGCCTCCCCACGGGGAGCCTGCTTCTCCGTCTATGTCTCTACCTCTCTGTGTCTATCATGAATAAATAAATAAAATCTTTGAAAGAAAGATACAAAGACAGTTTTCCAGAATTAGAGGCAAATATCAGTCTTCTATCTGAAGAATCGGAGGATAAAGAAAAGCACATCCACTTCTAACTATACTGTAGTAAAACTATAGAACCCCCAAAGACAGAATCTTAGCAACAGTTAGAGGTGAAAGATTGCTTACAAAGAAAGGGTGTCAAACTAGCAGCTGATTTGTCATTCACCCACAAGTGCTTAATACAGAGGAATAGTAACTTAAAAATGCACCATTAGGGACGCCTGGGTGGCTTAACGGTTGAGCGCGTCTGCCTTCAGCTGGGCATGATCCTGGAGTCCCTGGATGGAGTCCCACATCAGGCTTCTCCCTCTGCCTGTGTCTCTGCCTCTCTTTTTCTGTGTGTCTCATGAATAAATAAATAAAAATAAAAATAAAAAATGCACCATCAACTTGGAATTCTGTTGCCAAGTACACATTTATTCCAAGGCAAGGGCAAAAATAGTGATATGTTTTAATAAAGATCAGAGCAGAAATTACTGAAAGAACAGAAAAACAAGAGTTGGTTATTTGAAAAGATTAACAAATGGGCAGATCTTCAGCTGGATTGGCCAAGGAAAAAAAAACTCAAATCACAAAACTCAGGAATGAAAGAAGGGATTATTGACCTGACAAATAAAAAGAATTATAAAGGGAATACTCTGAACAATTGGAGACATATCAATCCTCTCTATGCCAACAAACTAAGTTCTTAGATGAAATGGGTAAATTCCTATAGTTAATTTGCTACTTAATCAAAGTGTTATCTTTACCAGTTGTCTTTTTTGTTTGCCAAAACCATTTGATGATAACAGAAGTGACTGAGGCTAAAGGCATTCTCTTTCGGCTAACGGCAGAGTATGAGGTGCTAGTCCTCTGACATATTTTGGGGAAACCAGAGCCTTCACATTCCCTATGATCCTCTTAAATTCATTAAACCATGCCAAAACATGAAAAACTCATCTCCCCCCTTGAAGTGGTCTGAGAAACCTGTCTATGGTTTCTCTCTTCAACAGGCCTGAGGGCTGGGGAGCAGAAAAAGGATCTTTGCCCCACCTGCTGATCAAGTTGCCTACCTTGTCAACACATACCACAGAGGGCGGGGTTTGATTTTCTGAGTCCCCAGTCCTAACCCTATACACACTCAGGGCTGGGGTCTCATTTCTCTGACTTCTTTCCCAAGGCTGTTCAATCCACTTCAGCTATGTGTAATCAGTGTATCTTTTGACTGGTAGCTGTCGTACCTTGTCAGAAGGGAAACAGTCATGAAATACGTCAGGTTTTTGTGCTTAGTTCCCTTAAATATCATCCAACATCAAACTTAGTGAGCTGGCCTATTCATTCATCCAAAAAAATACTGAGAATCTATGATCTGCAAGATGTTATGTTAGGGGATGCAGGGATATACAGAAATCTTTAGTAATCAAGACTGTTTAAGGTCTAATGAGGTTAGAGATAAAAATGAAATAATTTTTAAGGGGAATATGCAAGTACCATGAACCATATAAAGTGTTTTTCTTGTTTTTTAAAAATATTTATTTATTCATGATAGAGAGAGAGAGAGAGAGAGAGGCAGAGACACAGGTAGAGGGAGAAGCAGGCTCCATGCAGGGAGCCTGATGCGGGACTCAATCCCAGGACTCCAGCATCACGTGCTGGGCCGAAGGCAGGTGCTAAACCGCTGAGCCACCCAGGGGTCCCCCATATAAAGTCTTTTAATTCTATGGATCATGACCAATAATAGGTCCTAAAATCATTTTAGTGGGCTTGTTACCACTTTTTAAAAAAATTAAAGTAGAATATAAAATAGCAGTACGTTGCATATACTAAGGAAATCTTGTAAAACTTGTTTGCTGTATTATTTATACTGGAGTTATTTATACTGGAGTGTAAAATATTTTTTAATGTAGGTTACAGTCAAAAAAATTTCAAAGGGTGGATCAAATGTGCTACAGAAGAATCAAAAAGCTTTCTGGAGGGAAGTAGCTTTGAAGAGTTAGAATTTTAACAGGTGGAAAATGGAGCTAATAGGAAAAGGGGCATGTCATATGGAAGGAAATATAGAATTGGGAGCCCGAGCATGGCACTAGTATAAAAAATTGAGTACTACTCAGCAACCAGGAGAGATTTGGGGTTCACTCTACAGAATTTTGTGTGGGGGTGGATATGGAGTTTTAAGAACCTTTTGATTTTAAGCTGTGTTAATGATTAATTGTATTCCCCTAATGGATTACTGATAGCTTATCAGCTTTGGTGGACTTTGGCAACTTTACCCTCCGTCAGGTTGCAAACAAGTGAAATGCTGCCGTAGGCCCCATGGTGGGGTATCTGGTCTTGCCTGCCCTCCAGTCTCTCTGACAGGAGCCTTGTTCCCCTATGTAGTAATGACACCTTGCCTAGAAAAGTCATGGGATTGTTTATGGACCTCAGGTTTAAGAAGAGATTAACACATTCCTGTAATGTGCATTTATGGGCTTAATACTTTTCAGTGCTGTGTTAGAAGCATGCTTGTTTTGTTTAATCTCTGTGTGAGTTTCTCATTTCTTTCCCAGTACTTTAAGGAAGGAGTGGTATAGACTGGACCATTTCTGATGGCCCATTGGAGATGGGATTGAGTCCCAGTGGATGACATAATGTCTGAAAAATACTCCCGAGTTTAACCAAGAAAGACAAATATAAAGGGTTATTACAAAGATGAAGGGGCTCTGAGGGAAATTCTGCAAGAGATACTATTACTTTGAAATCACTTGGAAAATGAGAGGAATATCACCCCACCCCTTACCCAACTGGAGCACTATAATTGCAGGATGAGGATAATTGAATTTTAGAAAAACTCAGGGCCCAGCTAGTCTCTTCAGGAGTGGCATAAACAATCTGGCCTGCTCTGGCTTTGTTTCAATTCTTTCTTTTCCCTCTCTACCCAGTACTTAGGAACAAGCTGCCAGTGTGCCCCGGAGTCTTCCTGCTGTGTGCTCCAGGGATTGTCTGCTTTCCTCTTATCATTGGCACTGCCAGCATGAGGGTTCTCTCCAGAACTTTCAGAGTGGGATATAGTCCCCCTTCCCTGGGCAAATTCACAGAGACACTAAGTGCCAGGGTGGCATTAGTCATTGAGGTAAAACTGGGACATGGGTAGAAACCGGCTCCAGTTCTGCTTCAAGACCTTTCCTTTCTGTCCCCAACACCCAGGTGGCAGCTGGTATAGCTGTAGAGGAAATAATCATGATGTCCAGCAGAATAGAACAATGGGAGTTTAATGGGTGGCTTATTTTCTCAAGAAATTTGCATTTCCGAGGCCTGATATCCATCTCAATAGGAGTATCCCACACCGGAAGAGACTCCTAGGAGAAGCCTCACCCCAAAATTAACATTTCTCCCACTTTGGGATTAAGAAATGTAGCTCCCTTAGAGAGCCTGATTATTTGGGGACGTTTAATTTGAAAGTAATACATGGTTTATTTGGAACTTGAACAGGAAATTTTTGTTTTATTTTTTTAAAGATTTTATTTATTCATGAGAGACACACACACAGAGAGGCAGAGGCACAGGCAGAGGGAGAAGTAGACTCCCTTCGGGGAACTCGATAGGGGACTCGATCCCGGATCCCCGAGATCATGCTCCCTCCCTGAGCGGAAGGCCTACGCTCAACCGCTGGGCACCCAGGCGTCCCTGTTGTTTTTTGTTCTTCTGGCTGGTTGAAATACGCAGAACAAACATCCTATACGGGTGCATCCCTTTCTGGACTCTATTTCAGGGACGCCCGGGTGGCTCAGTGGTTGAGCGCCTGCCTTTGGCTCAGGTCGTGATCCCGGCGTCCTGGGATCGAGTCCCGAATTGGGGTCCATAGGAAGTCTGCCTCTCTGTGTCTCTCATGAATAAATAAATAAAATCTTAAAAAAAAAAAAAACCCAAACAAAATAGACTACATTTCAGATTTGAGTTGGGGGGTGTGGGGCGTGTGTGAGAAGTTTTTTCCATTAATCAAAAGTGTTAAAATATATACGCACATATAGGGTGAGTAGCAGTCTTCACTGCTGAGCGACGGAGGCCAGGTTGTAAGAGCTTCCCACGCTGAGAGGGAAAGGTCTTAATGGGAGTTTCCAAAGGAAGGAGGAGTCTGGGGCCCGGGTGAATGAAGAATGGAATCCATGTCAGGGCTGGAGGACGAGGCAGGTCCGGCTGGGATCCCAGGGAGCCGGGCTCTAGCCGGCGGCCAGCTGGCGGGGGCCCCACGTGGCAGGCCCGGGGGAGCGCAGGGTGCGGTGAGCGGGGGGCGGGGCCAGCGGGGGGCGTGGCCGGGGGCGGGCCCTGCCGCTGACGCGCAGGCTATATAGCGGGGCATGCGCGGCGTGGCGGGGACGGCCGCAGGAGGGGGGGCAGGGGCGCGCGGGCTCCCTCCGCTCACGCACCGCCTGAGCTGCCGCCGTTGCTGCCGCCGCCGCGGGCCGCCCGAGGGCCTGGCTTGGGAGGTCGGCGGGGCCCAGGCGGCGTCCGCCGGAGCTTCAGGTGAGGGCGTGCGCGCGTGCGCGCGGGGCCGCGCCGTGCTCCGGAGTGGGGCATCGCGCCTCCAGGTCTCGGGGTCACCGGGTGGGGGCGGAGGCGCGCGCCCGGCGGCGCCGAGGACCGGGAGCCCCGCTCCGGATTCCGAAGCCTCGGGCTGGAGCGGGGAGGCGCCCCGGAGGACCCGCGCCTGGGCCGGACGCTGGATGGAGGGGACACCTGGCCGCGCTGCCGCGGCGGGGGTTACTTGGTGGCGGGGGAAGGGGCTCGCAGCTGCTTTCCCTTCGGCTGGAGAGCGAGGGATGTGGGGGCCGGGAGGGCTGTCCGCATCGTCTGTAGCCGCCCCGAAAGGCCGAAAGGCTTCCTGGAGCCCGTAGGTAGGAGCTCAGGAAAGGCAGGGAGTAGATGGGCAAATCTGGTGGGCGGCTCCGGTGGGACCCTGGTGTCCGGACTGGGCTTTCCGCGAAATGCGTCGCCCCAGCCCACCGCACCCCGCCAGCCCACCGGCCAGCCGAAGACCGATGACCCTGTCTTCCGGCTGCCTGGTAACTGGAGCTGGAGAGCGGCAGAGGAGGGATGGTGCTAAACCCTGACCTGGCTTACCCCGTGGGCATGGCTTTTTTAGCTATTTTTGGTCCTACCGACCGAGTTGGGCGATGTGGCTGAGGCTGCCCTCTCTTGGTGGGTTAGGGCAATGGGACAAAAGAGCCATCCAAGCAGTTTCACCATGTGATTCTGAGATTCAGTTAAAGCCAAGAATATTTTCTCAGCTCGGGGTTGCGGCTTCCGTAGTGAGGACCTCGTGTCTGCCAGCGCCTGGGTGTCCAGTAGGACCGTGTGGGCATGACTGCAGGAGGGCAGAGGGCTCACCGGGGCCATAGGAGCGGCGAGGGTAGGAGCAGCTTTGAACCTGACTTTTCTTCCTGGAGGCACCCTGGATTTGGTTTTGTCTTTAGAATCGCTCTTCCCTGGGAATCACAGGCACGTGGATGGGCTGCTGGGAGGTGGTGGTGGTGGTGGTGGTGGTGGTGGTGGTACAGGTACAGTGTGCTGGGGACCGGCCTGGTTACCCTGGTCTCTGTCCCAGCTCTGCTCCTAACCTGCCCTGTGACCTTGGGAAGGGGGTTAGTGCTAAGGTCAGAATAGATCTATCTGCAGCATCTGTGATTAACCCTTAACTCTTAAAACAAGAGCCACAGAAACTGAGAGGAACTTGGTGGTGAAGCAAGGGAAAGAATGTCCAGAATTGTGACTTTTAAAAGCTGTGATAAAAACGACATATCCCATTTCTTGTTGGTGGCCCAGAGGTGGGCTTTTCATAAATTGTGTGGTAGCCAGGAGATAGATAAGTGCTATTCTTTCTGCCTCTGGTTTGCAGGTATGACTAAAGGGCACCAAACAGAATTACTGGCCTTGTCATTTAGGCAAGAAGAGTAAATAAAAACTGTAGGCTCTGTGACTCTCCAGTAAGTCTGTACGGAGGGCCTGGTTTGTGTTCAGCTCTGCAGGGCTCCTGCTGGGTGCAAAGAGGGGATGGATGAGACCTGGCTTCTGCAGACTCTTGATGAGGAGAGAGAACATCCAGACAAGAATAATAAGGTAGCAACACAAGAGAGGCCATGCTGTTGTGTTCAGTAAGTTTAGCGAAGACAGCACTCTATTAGTAGTGGTGTAAGGTGGTGGGACAGTCTGGGCTTTTGAGCCAGATCAATCTGTTCAAATCCTGACCCCATTACTCAACAGCAGGGCGGTTTTCTAACCTCTGTAGGCCTGTTCTCCCTACAGTGAAGCACGCTGTGATTGTTCTTGGAACATCGTAGAGGTCTCATCATCATCTCTGTGGGATGGAGTGTATTATTTAGGGGTCTAAAGCTGATAGGTAGGTTGGGTTGTAGGAGTGGTATGAGTGCAGACTTGGGGTTGATCCATCTCCTCCTTAGGAACGTGGTTGCAATTTCCATGCCTTTTCTAGGTAGGTGGCTTTTCTGTGCCCTGCCAGGGATTGTCCCACAGAATCACCGAGCAAAGGGAAAAGAGGGTTGTTGTTTTTTTTCCCCTAACCTTTAGTTTTAGGAGCTATTCTGTTTTCTTCAGGTAATTGAAGTACTCCTTTTCTGAGCCGATAATAGGCCAGAAAGACTAACAGTGGGTTGGAAGCCTGTGGGTATAGATCAGTCACTGGGCTGGTTCTGTTTTCAGTTCCTTCCCACAGTTTTCCTTACCTCCTCGTACCCCACTCTATGCCAGGAGGAACCTGAATGCATGTCCAATAATCACAGGATCTTGGGATCTGAGGAGTGGTTCTGTGAATAGATGGTATATGTCTGAGAATTGGAAACTCCTCCCCACCATGCTACAATAATTCAGCCTGTTTGCCTGAAGAAAATAATGAATGCTTAGGCATTTTGCAGAACTACAGCTAAAGAAACTAGATCTGTAGAGGTTAATTGGTATTCCCAAGTCACATTGCTTGCTAGTGACCAAGGGACTTAATGGAGAAGACTGAAGAAAGGTTCTGTTTTTATTCCTAAGCGTGAAGATAAAATTGCTAATTCTAGGGATCCCTGGGTGGCGCAGCGGTTTGGCGCCTGCCTTTGGCCCAGGGCGCGATCCTGGAGACCCGGGATCGAATCCCACGTCGGGCTCCCGGTGCATGGAGCCTGCTTATCCCTCTGCCTGTGTCTCTGCCTCTCTCTCTCTCTCTCTCTCTCTCTCTCTCTCTATCATAAATAAAAAAAAAAAATTGCTAATTCTAGTCTTTTCCTTGAAAAGGTGAAGAGGAAGGAGCTAGTTATACCGTGTACTTATTTAGGGGAAAGGAAGTTGCTTTGCTTGTGTGGAAGTTTCCTCTGGAGAAGTCTTCTACTTCTCTTTCCAGAATGCCTTGAGACATGTGAGGGTAGGGAGTGGATGCGGAAGGGTCATGCTGCTGGGGCCCCAGCCAGGACTCACTAGATGTCTACAGTGGGACTTTTCTGACCTCGAGACTGGCGGGTTGGCAAAATGCCAGCAGATAAAGCAGTCCAGAGTCTGCTGCCAGCCAGGGGCCTCATGCCCTCCCAGGGAACCAGCAGGGCAACCTCACCACAAAGTCTCTGAGACCCAACTGCCTTGTCCCCACCCTTACTGTGGTCATTGAGCCTCCCAGAGGCAGAACTCTTGTGGGCCCTCTGAGACCCACCACCCTAAAGCGAGAGGAAAAGTGCCCACAGAATCAGCCTGGAGAGAGCCTGGCATGCCCAGTTGTGGGAAACAATAAATATTCCCTGCCTTGAGAACTCAAGTTCTGGCTGTGTTCTCAGGCCTCCTAACCACCTTCGTCCAGCATCTGGCCCTGGAGAGTGTTGGGGTTTGGTGGAATGAGAAGGTGGCAGTCCTAAATTTGTGCCTAGGGGCTCATAGGCAAGGCACTCAGTGTTAGTAAATAAAAAAGTCAGCTTAAAGTAGGGAGTTTTAAACAATCCGTATTTTAAGCAATTTGTTTAACTTTAAAAACCTACGCATGTATTTTTTTTTTTATTCACTACTGTGATTTAGGGCTGAGGCCTTTTCTTTGGGTTTCTGGGTACCCTAATTAAACTTGCAAATTGTCTATAAAAATCATACCTATACATAACCACCTGCAATTTTCACATTTCCTTTTTTTTTTTTTTTTTAAGATTTTATTTATTCATGAGAGACAGAGAGAGGGGGGCAAAGAAGCAGGCTCCATGCAGGGAGCCTGACATGGGACTCGATCCTGGGATCGAGGGATCCCCTTCACATTTCCTTTTATTTTATTTTTAAATATTTTATTTTAAAGAGAGTGAACACCTGCCTGCACAAGCAGGATTGGGGGGTGGGGGTTGGGAGTGGGCAGAGGGAGAGGGAGAAGCAGGCTCCCTGCTGAGGAGGGAGCCCCACACAGGGCTCAGTCCCAGGACGCCGGGATCATGACTTGAGCTGAAGGTGGAGGCTTCATACCTATACATAACCTATACATACCTATACATAACCACCTGCAATTTTCACATTTCCTTTTTTTTTTTTTTTTAAGATTTTATTTATTCATGAGAGACAGAGAGAGGGGGGCAAAGAAGCAGGCTCCATGCAGGGAGCCTGACATGGGACTCGATCCTGGGATCCAGGGATCCCCTTCACATTTCCTTTTATTTTATTTTTAAATATTTTATTTTGGGATCCCTGGGTGGCGCAGCCGTTTGGCGCCTGCCTTTGGCCCAGGGCGCGATCCTGGAGACCCGGGATCGAATCCCACATCGGGCTCCCAGTGCATGGAGCCTGCTTCTCCCTCTGCCTGTGTCTCTGCCTCTCTCTCTCTCTCTCTGTGTGACTATCATAAATAAATAAATTAAAATTTAAAAAAAAAATAAAAAAATAAAAAATAAATATTTTATTTTAAAGAGAGTGAACACCTGCCTGCACAAGCAGGATTGGGGGGTGGGGGTTGGGAGTGGGCAGAGGGAGAGGGAGAAGCGGGCTCCCTGCTGAGGAGGGAGCCCCACACAGGGCTCAGTCCCAGGATGCCGGGATCATGACTTGAGCTGAAGGTGGAGGCTTAACCAACTGAGCCACCCAGTGCCCCCACATTTTCTTTTCTTTTATTAATTTTTTTTCACTAGGCTCTGTTCACGTAGTTCAAGAATCAAAAGGTTAAAAAACAATATACACACTCACACCTAGTGAAACATCAGTGAAACATCTTACCCTTGCCCCCTTTTTTAACAGATGGTTCAAGTTAGCACTTTAGACATGACATGTTGTTTACCCTTTGCTGTTTTTACCTCCTAGCTGTATTGGATCTTTCCATATGGGCACAGAGAACACTTGGGTCATTCTTTTATTGTAGTCACATATTCAGGATATGGAAGTACAGTGATATTTTAACCAATGTACGTAAGTCATCTCTCTCTGTCTCTGAACTTGGGTTATTTCCATTATTTTGTCTGTTTTGTTATTACATAAGATGCTGCAATGAATAACTTTGTACAAATGGTATTTCCTACGTG